CGAGAGAGAGAGAGAGAGAGAGAGAGAGAGAGAGAGAGAGAGAGAGAGAGAGAGAGAGAGAGAGACAGAGAGCTGCGGTGGGATAGAGAGAGGGCTGCTGCCATCGAAGGGCGATCCACTTGGCAACAGCTGCCAAGGTCTCGAGAGTCAAGGCGCGGGCAACCTGCCAGTGATCATTTTTTTTTGGCGCGCTTCAGGTGCCAGATCCGGATCGGACGGGACTGACTTCCAGGGAGCTTCTTCGAATGTTCGGTGCAGAGTTCGTCAACTTCAATTAGTTTGCCACGTCGGCATCTGGCTCGACTCCAGCGCGCGCCGCCATCTGGCTCGCCTCCAGCCAAAAAGAGAAAGCCCCGGCGGAGGAGGTTGTGGCAGGGGGCGGCGGCAGCGGCAGAGAAGGCGAGATGGACTCGGGCGGAGGGGCTGGTTCCCGGGGCTCCAATCAGAAAGCAGCAGCAGAGGCCGCAGCAGCAGTAGCAGCAGCGGGCACAGAAGCGGCGTTCATAGCAGCAGGAGAGAACGCGTCTATCTGGCTCGCCTCCAGCAGCAAAGAGAGAGCTCGGATGGGAATGCCTTTGGGCAGCCTCCGGGCAGATCTCGCTAAGATCAATCACTTTGCCACGTCGGCAGGTGGCGGCGGCGGCAGCGGCACGGGAGGCGGGATGAACTGGGGCGGAGGTGTTGGTCCGCAGGCCTCCGATCACCAAGCAGCGGAAGAGGGCGCAACAGCAGTAGAAGCAGCGTTCGTAGAAGCAGCCTTCAGAGCAGCAGGAGAGGAAGCGGCCCTCTCGCTCTGCGGCGGTAGAAAAAAGAAGGGTCGGAGGGGAGGAGGGCTTTTCCGGGGCTTCGGTGCAGGGTTCCCACCCTTTAATCACTTCGCGACGCCGTCGTGGTCCTCGTCGCCAGGTGGCGGTGTGGCAGGGGGCGGGGGGATGGACTTGGGCGGAGGGGTTCGTTCGCAGACCGCCGATCAGAAAGCAGCAGCGGAGGCCGCAACAGCAGTACAAGCAGCCTATGTCGAAGCAGCCTTTAAAGCAGCAGGAGAGAGAGCGGCCCTCTCGCTCATCGACGACGATGAGAGCGACGATGACTACTAAGTTCACCCTTCTTACGGTGGAAGCACTTTGTATACTAGCACGTATCCCTTCACAATGCCGCGAAGCTAGCTATCACTTCTTCAATGATGGCTTCGGTAGTTTCAAGCCTAATAATCCGTACGCTCCTCCTGCGATGGGACAGAGTGGTTGTCCGCCGCCATCGCCGCCAACTGCAGCGGGAAGCGGTGTCATGCCCGGCAGTCCTGGGGCCATCAAGTACACGATACCCCCTCTAAGCCGAGTTCGGGGGTTCGCCGCCAGGGAAGGACACTCTGCCCCAGCGCCGCCAGGGTACGTTGGATGTGATATGACGACGCTGTCGATGTACGCGGCCGGTGCGATTGGACAAGTGGCTTCAGGAGCGATGGCGGCCGGCGAGGCGGGTGATGCCGGCGGTGCCGGCGGCGGCGGCGGCCGCGCTGGCGCGAAGGGCGCATTGCCAGATGAAACGGAAGGAAGCGGTGGCGTGCATCACCATCAGCAGCAGCTGCTGAACAACAGGGGGGTGCCTTCGCTGCACAACTTTTCTTTTTACGTATTTAATTTATTGGAAAAAAAAACTTTCTCCTCATAGGTGGAAAGCTGTGTATATATCTATATATACATATATATGTATATACATATATAGTTCAGCCTCCTGATGAGTCGGTGAGACTCCGACAAAACAGTTTGTCACATCCCCTCGTTTATTGTCCTCTTCTCCCTCTCTGCCTACGGTTGACCGGGCAGCTCTGTTTGTCTCTCTCTCTCTCTCTCTCTCTCTCTCTACATTCTCTCAATTTGTAACCGGCTTCTGCCATGTTATGGAACATATCCTTTTCCATCACTCACTACCTACCTACCACGACTCCTAAGGCTATACAGGGGACCCCTGCAAGCATAGCTATCTACCTCTTTTTCAATTAGTTCGATTTGAAATAATTGGTTTTCACTCGATAAGATTCGGTCCCAATTGATTTGAATCTTCTTGATTGGTCTGATTTCAGTTAATCCGGGGATCTGATTTGATCTGATCTTATCTGTTTTTTGGTTGGGATAGTTATCATTGGTTCGATCTGAGCCGCTTCGATTCAATTCTGCCTTCTGCTGCGCCATTGCTTACCCTTTTCATGGACGTGGTTAGATGCCCCTGCGCGGGTTGGGCGGACAGGAACCCCACTCTTAGTGGGTTAGGGGCTGTGTTTGCTACTGCATTACCATAGGAGTAGCAGAAACTGCTAGGTCCCCTGCTAATTACAATACCTTGCACGCTGTACAGGAGCTTCCCTTGCAGAATATTTTTTGCTTCTTTTTTTTCTTACAAAACATATATCCCTTCTATTCTGGGCACAGTCAGTCCGGTTACTTGTTACCCGCAAGCATTTACAAGAAATGTGCAGTGTCAAGCACCGGCAAGCATGTACGAGAAATTTCACTGTCATTTATAAAGGACATCATACGTGTGTAGTTTATGATGATCTGATGGGCAGTTAATCCCCCTGCAGAAGGGGATATCAGACTGCAATGATGTTTCCCTCCATACGTGGGAGGCACCGGGTAGACTGGGAGGCCGCGCGGCTTTG